CATATAACTCACATGACTTCATTTCTATCCAGTTCACTTATCCTCCATGTACTTTGAGAATGCTGTGATAGATGGATTTGTCACTCAGGAGATACCTTGCAAGTTTTAAGCTCAATGGAAGTATAACGAATCTGAAAGTTGGTACAGGAATTTTTACTCTCCAGTCTTGTGGTTCACAGGGGCGATTCCCCTCTGTGCCTTTTTTTACTGTTGACCCCCCTTCGATATGCAGCCTAGGAGTGTTAGCTAGCTGGTACTTTGCATGGAGCATCACTTCTGTATTGTTACATGCATGTTTGCATGTTTCTTGTATCTTTATACAGGGTTTTAAGCATGTTTGATAACCTCCTGTCTTGAAAAACATGTTTTTAGTAATAATGAAAAGTGGCAATTCCTTAGTAAAGCTTAAGTGACAACTTATTTAGAAATAATTCTATAACAACATTCTTACTGAAGAAGGAAGTGGTTTCTTCATAGTTCTTCACAATGGGTAATATAAAACGTTATTGAATCTGCTATGACTTTAAAAAAAGAAAAGCTGGCTCTTAGAAGTCTGGTTCCTTTGTCTAGTTGGTTTTTAGTTAATGTGTTCTTTTGGTAACTTTTTTATCATTTCATGGGACTGTATAAAGCACTTCACAAAAAGGAGGTTAGTGGAAGAATGTAGACTGTAAAGTGTTCTAAAAGATGTGGGTTTTGGTCCCAGTGGAGACTGACACTCCATCCTACTTACTGTAGCTGGAATGTATTGATTTTCTTCTCCCACATTTTAGCTGCACCACTGAATTAGGTATAGTGAAGCATCTCTGCCTGTGAAGAGAAGAAAAACTGTCATGAACTTTTTCATCCAAACAGTACAGCATTTCAGACTAAACCTGATTGAATGGAAAAGTCTGTAAGGACTCATAAAAACCTTGTAACTCAGCTCCCCTCTCGCATTTTTTGCTCTCCAACAACTGTTCCAGTAACCCTGAGAAAATATGATAGGTGATATTAAGATATTGATTTTTAAATCTTTTTGCATTAAAATAAAAAAAAATAATTATTATTAATAATAATTTAAAAAAAATAATAAATACCTGAAAACTATGCATTCCTGTGGCATGATCTCCTAAGGTTATCAAAGTAGTCTTGTTCAGGTTTTGAGCAGGATGTTCAGTTACTCTTATAATTGGCTGATGAGTAGGTTTGGACCTAACTAAAATGCCAGTGTTCGATTTTGCAGTGTCCTCTGTGAAGATAAGTCACCATTTACCCTGTCTTTAGAGACAATTTTCTAAAAAGGAAACTCGTGGGAAATCATTATGCTGTTTGTGTGTCTCCCTTGTTGGAGAGCATTATCCTGTGATATTTTAGCGCTGTTTTCCACTGCATGATGGTATCTAGGTAAGGTTAAGGCAGAACAAGTCCCTTCGCAATTTTATGACTATATTCTACTTGCTGTAGGAGAAAAGATAACCAACAATTAAGTATTTCAGATGTCACTGTAAGAACTAATCAATTAAATCAACTAATCAATTAAATCTGGAGGAAACATGATTTTATAAAACTGATAAGGTAGAAAAATTGGGATTTTTGTGATTTGTGTTACATAATAATTGCCTCTTTTTGATGAAAAAGACATTTCTGCTGATGTAAGTACCAGGCTTTCCCTTGTGTCTGTTGTTTTGTTTTTCTTCCTAAAACGTACAGTAGTTCATTAAAGTGTGACAGTAACAGATAAACACCCTTTACGATTTTTTAAGAATATATGGTGTCTATACTCTTGGTTTAGCTGAAATCAATGAGTTTGAAAAATGTGTTTCTGGAGTCACTTCCCAATCACTTGCCAGAGGTTTTGGAAGTTTTTATTTATTTTAGGAAGAAAATACACGTGCTGGTTTTGGGTTTTTTTTCCTTAAGTTAGTCTACTTAGCACTCTGGGGCCCATAATTGAAACTCATTGCTATGGTCTTGATACAGTTAAGATTAACTGGAAATTCACATTACAAACAAGCTAATTGTGAGACGATTTCTTTGAAAATATCTATCTTCTAAGTTTCGGATTGCAGAGCAAACAGGTAATAATCATATTTACAAGCTAATGACATATATACACTTGAACAAAGGCTACAGTTGAGCATATCACATCATAAATTATTGACAGTAGTGTAGAGACTTTACCTTCTGGTACCTTTTATAATCAGCTATTATTTAAAGATCATCAAGTTTGCAAAATGTATGTCACAAGTTTTCAGTTAGACGTTTAAGGTCAGTTCTGTTATGGGTTGCCCCACTTAAATTAAGCTGATTATGTTAACATTTATTTCTGATTTAAGAGTATTTTTTTGAACAACTTAAATAGGAAGCTAAGCATGCTTATGTTTTTCTCTGGACATCCACTTTGGGCCACCAGCAGATGTAGGAAATGCAGCTACACAGGCACACCTGATCTAGTAGGGCTGTTTTTTTTTTTTTGTTGTTGTTGTTCCCAAGTTTTTTTTTCTCTTTTCCTTTGGTTTCTACCATGTATATTAAGTGGATGGATTATACACTGGCCCTTTTTCATACCAAAGCAAATGAAGTTAAGCCGGAAGGTAATTTCCCCCTTATCAGTATAATTAACTTGTACGTCCATTTATTTTTTAATTCCTTAAAATGCATGTCGCATTACATCCGTTGAAAAAATCCTCATTTGTTCAGTGCAGTCATTCCTGCCTTCATAAAGTTCTGGAAATGATAGAATTCGCAGTCAACAGAGGCAACATCCAAGATAGAGCACAGTGCAAATTGCCTTTGCTTCTCTGCAAATTCTACATTTTCAAGTTTATTGATCACCAAAGCAGAGTTATTGACAGTTAACAAACTATATGGGTTAGCACAATAAACCAGATGCTATTTCCTTACATATTTTTCTGAAATACATTTGGTCAGGGCAGGGTTAGCAGCTCTTGGGTTGACTTGATGCATGTCATACAAAAAAAAAAAAGAGAAACAGAATAAGATATTAATCTGGAGTGAGTGGAAGTAGAAACGAGTAAGAGGTGTTGGGAGTTTTCATTTTATACAGTCATGTATCCTTGTCTTCCCTGACAGTCACTCTTCTGTTGAGCAGCCTCAGCAGGCAGCTCAACTTTTGGAAGAAGCTGTCAGTAGTGTAACTATGAGGTTGCATGTAAGTATTGTATGCCCTTAAATATCTTTATATAACTTTTTGCAGTTCTTCATTGCATATAATTATTAAGATTATTTATTTCAGCAAACAACATGCATTGTTATGCAATTCACACACCTTCTGAGTATGCACTCACCTACACCCCTCCTTCTGTGCATAACCTGAATGCAGAACAGGATAAATTCTGCAGCAGCAGAGTGCTGACTTTTCAGAATGCAAATGAAATGGCATTTTTTAATGCAGCATCTTCATACAGAGGTGAACTGAAAGGCTTAACACTTGCCAACATTTCAGACCTCCCTGTTTGTTACATCCACCAAAATCTAGAACAGGAGATTTCAAAAGCTGCCTTTTTCCTGTTGGTTTGTTTTGGGTTTTTTTCAGACTTGTTAGTGATGTCTGCAGCTGTTGAAGAACTGTAGATTCTGAATTCAGATTTGCAAATGTAACATAAAAAAAGAAGCAGTTCTCAAATATCTTTGTTTTCAAATGGTTTCTCTCTTTAAGTCTATGCACATCTTACTGAATTTTAACATTAACTGGGTTTTCATTACACAAATAATCAAACCATTCCCTATAAAACCTACTGTAAAATCTAGAGGAACTTCTAAATGTCTCTTCCAACCTATTTTTTTTTTCTGGTAATCTTGTTATTCTCTACATCCTGTTGTGTCTCCGCAGTGCTAATTATAATGTAAAAGAATATACACACAGGAGTAAGTTACCTCCTGAATGTAAGAAGAGTAATGTTTCTTCCCACTGCCAGTCTTGTTTCTTCTCTAGGTTTGTTTCTTCTAACATAGGGTGTGAAAATGATCAGGATGGATGTGGATAGCTTTACTTGCACAAGTTGTTTGATTTATAAATCTAGTGAAGTTTCTTCCGTGCATACATCCTCTCTGGATCAGGACTTTATGAAGGAAGGAAGGCTTTTTTAGGAAAAAGCTTGTGGCTTTCATTTGTATGTGATGTGTATTATCAGAATATATGGCAGTATGAACAGTAAATAAATAAGGGCTTACTCTTTCAGCTGAGACATTGGTTGAATTTATGAACTATTCTGTTTGCCCCATGAAAATGATCAATGATTATTTTTGGTCTGCTTCTTTGAAACTCTCAGAGATCTACTTTTTTCTTTAAGAGTCATTGTTTCATGATGAACATGCACTTGAGAATCGCATTTATTTGCTACATATTTTTAAGAATACTTGTAATTAATTTACTGAAAATTGTAAATCATCTCATCAATGGAAAACAAAGGAGAGTGGAGTCCAGTCTTCATGTCACTGCTCTGGAAGAATGTGGCACGTCTAGCCAGCAGCATTTGGTCAGAGCTCTGTCATTAGGAGTCCCAGTGCAGATAGGAGTATGTTGTAAGCTCATCTGTCAAGCTAAGCAAAGCGTTTCTTTCGCTTGTTGGCATTTACCAAGGCATGTATTAATAAAATTGCACCAAATGGAGACTTCAGTTTTCCATTGGTGTGGCAGACAGGTGAACATAAAAGCACTGTGTTATAGCTGATTTATGCTTTAAATAAACAGGATTTTATTCACAAATCAGTGTGCCAGTAACTTAGTTCCAGACGTCTCTGCTTGAGAGACATCTAGCTTAGCACCAGTGATGGCAGGTGAAAAACAATGTAGTAGCATGAACTGAATGTATTTATATGTGATTCATTAAGAACTGTGGTTTTCCTACTGAAATGAAGTACTCCAAAATAGGTGTAAGAGTTGAAAAGTGTTGCAAATGGGAAATGTTTTGGTAGCTTGAATAAAAATGTGTGATAATTAAGATACTAAAAGATCTTGGGTATTTATTGTGCCTTTTCTCTTTATTTTTTTACAGACAGTTGTTTTAGAAAATGAAGAGCTCCCTAAAATATTTCTTGATTTCCTGAATGTTCGCCATGTACCTAGCTTGCCAAAAGCAGAAAGCTGTGGGTAAGCTCTCATTTACTGAAAAATACATGGAGACCAAGAGGCCCATATTCACTCAGTGCTGACACAATTCCATTGACTTAAAATGGTCTTTCTGCCAACTCTAACACCGTAAAATAAATGGGCATAACGTTCAGTTAAGAATGTTTATATATCCCCAAAATGTGGTAAAATAAATCCAGTCTGTTCAAAGACACAAGTGAGGTTTCATGTAATATTCTTAGGACAGGAAAGTTTAGATGGGGAAAAACATGATTTTCTCATAGATCTTGAAGTATCTACTGAAATGTACAATACTCATAAACACTCACTAAAGTTGCATAGAAAACCTATGGACATAGTAACTGCACAAAATAGAAGTTCATTCTATGCTCCTTCTATGATCTCCCTCTGTGTGTTTGAAAATGGGGTCTTTCACCTTTCTGATGACATCAGCCCAAATGGCCCCATTGCCTTTCCATTGGGAAGGGTTCTTGATCAGGGTGGGAGAAGGGAATCTTTGTATGATCAATGTAATGACTACAGAAACACCCCAAACAGTGTAACTGGAAGCTCTGTTACCATCTGCAGCTGTAAGCTTTGTAGGGAAAGTAATTTCTTTTGCCATGCAGGCTGAGAGTTGATAGTCCAGCAGAACTTGCTCCCCAGAAAGCTATGTGGCTCTTTCCCACTTCAGGGGAAGCTCTGTGGATCTGCAGTGGAGAGGAGGCCAGGTGAAAAAAGTGGAGGTAATTTTGAGGCCCTCTATACACTGGGAAGCATCTGGCCCAGGGCAGTCTCCAGAGGGACTTGGAAGCTTACAGGCTTGTACTTTCACTTGCAGTGAATAACCTCAGGCAATACCTTCAGTGGGACTGTACCCCAGTGCTTCATAGACAAAGAGATGTGCTTGTGAATCTATTTCAGTAAAATAGATGCTGTCATTTCCAAGTAGAGGTTGTCATAAAAAGATACGATCTCCCACAGTTATTCCATCGCATGACATTACACAACTACTGACTATTAAAAGATTCCTCCCTTTGATGGTTCTTAAAGGATTTGTTTGCTTTTTTTTTTAGTGTAATTTTGTTTAATCAAAGTTTCCTCTCACTTTACTTGCAGCTCTTTTGATGAAACAGAATCTGAAGAATCAAGGTAAGCTTGGTGCCTACTCTTTCTAGGACACCAGATTAATAAACTACTTGAAATTATTGGTGTTTACTATGTTTGTTCAGTGCAGTTGACAAAATGGCAGTAGTATAGTATTAAAATTAGATGTGTTTATAATCATGGCTAGTTTCATCAGCTGTCGTAGATCCATCCATTTGTAGCATGAATTGAGGATCCTTGTATTGAGAAATTCTTTGCAAAACCCTAATAGAGTACTGCTAGCTCTGAAATAAATTTCTGGGAATGTTTTTACCCATTAAAGTATATTTTAGATAGCAGGAAGATTTGCCAGAAGGAAATGGAGGTTTGGGTTCTCCACTATGTGTTTTGACAGGTCGTTGTATGTACCTGGTTGAACTACTTGGCACATGCATGTACAGAGCAGAGGAAAGAGGGCTGGTGAGGGATGTCTGTACTGTGGCCAGGATGCGAAACAGCCCTGCGAAGGGCTACCAAGGCCTGTGGTTGTAGGTGATCTTGCAGCCTGCATTACATGAGGTATCAGGGAGGTCTCAAAGCCAGCTACCAGCTGCTCCTCCTGAACACAGCCCCTTCACCTCAGCTTCACATTGGCAATTTTGCTGTGCAGCTGAGTGGTGGTGAGCTTTGCTCCCAGGAGATGAAGCCTGCTCTTTCTGGGCAGCACTGATGTGCAGAAGCACACTGGCCACGGCTACTGCATGGCTCAGCCACCTCACTTTATCAAAGCTAGTTTGTACAATATTCTGTTTGCTGTCCCTTGATACTGACATCTCTGTTCTTGACCTTTCCAGCAAACTGTCCCACCAGCCTGTGCTGCTGTTCCTGAGGGATCCATATGTCTTGCCTAAAGCCAATGGTAATCAAACCTGTCATCTGTTAACAGTGCTTTACTGCTCTGACCCTGCACTGCATAAATCACATTATTATTAATATCAGCCTAGTCAGATGACACTGGTCCAAAATCTAATAACCTGCCAATAAAACGATAGTTCTTGTGTAAGAAACCATTAAAACACTAAGTGGGGTGGACGATTTATAAAAGGGTGGAATTTTCTCCCCCAGTTCTTCTCTCAGACATACCTACTGAGAATTCAGGTCAAAAGAAAAAAAACATTGCCTTTCTTTTCTTCTTGTTGACCCTTTGGGCTGTTTTGCCTGAAGGATTTGAACTTAGAGGCACAGTCCTTTGTAAGTGCTTTTTCCCTAAACACCAGTCTATCTCCTGTGAGCATGTTTGTATTTCCATTTGGATTATTACTATTTCTTATCATTTATAACCTCTAGTGCTCTTTTGGGGGAGTGGGGAGGGAGAAGAAGAATGTACAGTTTGATGTATTTCACAGGAAATTTGTGTTAACCTTCATTTCTTAATATGTGGTTCAAAAAAGTGTCTGAAAGAGCTTTAAATAAACCCTTTTTTCTTTTTGCCTTTTTTAATACAAAAGTTCTTTGCATTATTAGTTCAGAGAACTTACCTTCTGTCTTAAATGTGTGCAAGTAAAACAAAAAAAAAATCATTTTTAATACTGTGTTCCTCGTTGTTTTATCATTTTACTTGTTTGAACTGATACTTCTACTAAATCTTGTATTAAAAATGTAATTGTCCTTTCAAGGGAGAATTTTCTCCCAGAGCTGCAAAGTAAGGGAGAAATTGTTTCATTTGTTGAATTGTTGAATTATTTGTTTCATAGAAAATACCGTATTGAAATCAAGGGGAAAAATCAAGGGGAAAAAGGGAGGTTCTTTAGCTGCCTTGAACATCATAAAATTTTTAAGAGTAAATTTAGGAAAGAACACTGTTTGCTTGAAGTTCCTTAGCCAGCGAAGTGTACTTCATTCACATCTTCTCAAGATGTATATAAATACCTGAAGGAAGGGTGTAAAAAGACAAAGCCAGGCTCTTTTCAGTAGTGCCCAGTGGAAACACCCTCACTGTGAGGGTGACTGAGCCCTGGCACAGGTCACCAGAGAGGAGGTGGAGTTTCCAACCTTAGAGATCCTGAAGAGCTCTCTGGAAATGGTCCTGGACAACTGGCTCTGGGTGTCCTTACTTGAGCAGAGGGTTGGAGCAGATCACCTCTGGAGGTCTCTTCCAGTTGCAGTCATTCTGTGATTCTGTTAGTTTTTTCAGGCTGTTTTTCAAAACCATAGGGACCAGGCTCACTTATTTTGAGAGGTTTAAATAGTCTCCCTGACTGGCAATGTCCGCTCTAGCTAGTGGTGTGGCCCAATGGTATTGACCCTATAGAGTCTTACTGAACTTGAAGTTGGTAGTTCTAGAATGAAACAGTGGAGAGATCTTGTGTGACCAAGGTCCACATCAGAAGACACATTAAAAGGTCGTTTAGTTTTTAGTCATTTAGACTTGACTTAGGACTGGTATGGTCACCTGGGCTGAATGCACATCTGAGGCTCCAGCACACATCAGAAAATCGATACACCAAAGCACAGGTCATGGTGAGATTGTCACTTTACAAGATCACTCCTCACCCAAGTGACAACACAGTGCAGAAGGACTTGCAGAAATACCTCTGTCTAAAAGTTGGTCCAGATGCTACCTATACTGGTATTTAGAGTGGATCACAATTGCATGTTTTAATCTTACTGTTTAATGCTCCTCTTAATTGCAAACTTGGATTGCTCGAGAGCAATGTGTAAATTATGAACATAATCTAATTCCATATCATTCATGAAAGAGAAAATGGATTTCATAGTCAGTTACTCTGAAAATGCAGACAGCACTTCTTAATGTTTTCAGCCAACATGTAAGGTTTTGCTGTAAGACTTCTATTCAGGATTTTGCAGTTCTGTGATGGTCTTCCTTCCTTAATATATGACTAAGGCTGAGTTCCCTTTTCTTGAAATCATTAGGAACTTCATAATGAATTTTGTAACTACTCCATTAAGTAGTCCGTTACTTGGATTAAGATAAAGGCCTCTTCTAATGCATGCCAAGTTTAAATATTAAGTAGGCCTCATTAATGACATCTGAAACAAAAGACTTCTACGGCTTTTGCCAAGTCATTTTCTGGCCTTGATACACAGTATTTAGATTTCATGTGGCACATGAATATTCTTTGTATTTGAAGACCCTAAAACATCAAATTCATTTGCAAGTTACTCTTTAATTTGAATTAAAAAACAAATTAGAATGTGAGTTGTAGTTTAAGAAGGGAAGAAAACCAAGTCTTAAGTCTAGAGGCCCTACTAGTTAAGTCTAGTTGGAAAGAAACAAAAGTTTTTACGGCTTTTACACACTACCTTTAATTCTTTCATTTTCAGTTTGCAGCACAGAGAAAATATAGATGAGCATTCTAAAATTGTCTTTCAGATCAGTTCTGACTTTGATAGACTCTGATTCATCTGTGAAAAAACAGCAAAGGTTGTTCAGATTGTGACCAAAAGTATCCAAATGAATAATTATTCATTTTGTGTACTCTTTGAAGGTGACCTGTGAGAGTTGTCTGGCTCAGAACTGTTCAGGAGTTATTCCTCCCTGGATACAGGAAGGGCTGTGTTCCCACAAAAAAAAAGGAGATTGTGTACTTATGGGTTTGTTCTTTTTTTAATGAAATAAACAGTTCTTTCTGCAAGATAATACTTGGAGAACACCTTTTTCCCCCTTCATTGCACTGTTACTTGTCTTCATAAACTATCATCTTCCTATTATTCTAGTGACTGAACTTAAGCATTTTTGAGTTGCAAGGCAACTTTGCAAAAATAAGACTCACAACCCTCATTGATTTTTCACACTCGCTTTTTCATGATGTTTCTGAGTGCATGAGCACATCACCTTTTGTGTAAGGTGGCCACACCATTTTTAGGGGTGGGGAAAAAAAAACAACATGTACTATTTTGAAGAAAAATTAATTAAAAATATAAAATGCTGCAAATTTAAAATGATGCCTCAGAAGCTAAAAAATGGAATCTCAGATTTATTGTCACTTGTTCAAAAACTGCTCTGATGATTATTTAAGCTGTGTCAGTATCACAGATTTGCAAGACTGTGCTTCAGTGTATTTATACAATCAACTGAAATTAACATACTTGAATTTTTTTAAGCAGCAAAGCCTCACAATAATTTGATAAAGTTGCATAATTTTTTAAATCAATACTCATTTTCCTGTATATTCTGTATGTTACAGAAGAACCAGTAAAAACTGGTTTCTGGAACTGCAGCATTTAATTTGGAAGGAAAGCATCAGATTGCCCTTACAAGTGTACTTTTAATAACATTAATGACAACAGCATAGGGTTATTCTGCCAGGGTGACTGGGGATAGCTGAGCTTGCAGGACTTGAGGAATCATTATTGGATTCAAATTATTAACAAGTAATTTATGACTTACTATGAGAAGCTGGGAGAATTATTCATGTATTGTTCACAGTGGATGTTGCAGTTTTTTAAAACTTCCTAAAATATCTGTAACATCTTTAATACATTGGAATCACCTTATTAATGCCAATGAGATAACACTTAGCTAGTAAGGACTTTTTTTTTCCTTACCAAGTCCAAATGTACTTTTTGCTCAGTATTTTTATCTCCAGAAATATTTTAATGAAAGAATAAGGGGCAACATCCCACCCATATTTGGTGACCTAATTTACCAAGTATCTAATGGTTTTTATAAAAGTTACATCTCCTCATTTTGAATAGCCTGTAGGCTGATAGGTGAAGGAAAGATCTGATTAGTGTGGAAGTTCTGTATCAGAACAGGTTGCCCAAAGAAGTGATAAATGCTCCATGCCTGGCAGTGTTCAAGGCCGAGGTAGACAGAGCCTTGGCTGACATGGTCTAGTTTGAGGTGCCGCTGCCCATGGCAGGAGCTTTGAAACTAGATGATCTTAAGGTCCTTTCCAACTGTACCCAGTCTGTGAGTCTATGGTTCTATAAACAGTCTGTTCTTGTAGGCCAGTCCATCTCCTAGTGTAGCAGCAATCATAAGAGGTGATCAGAAAATCTTACTTTTAATGCCCAGTGATTTAAGTGAACCCTCCATTACAAACGCAGGAGTTGGTGCATTTGAAAAATAGTTTCACTTCAGTAATGTACATTCTCACATTCCCCGGCATGGAACTATTACTGTGTTCTACTGGGTAATCCCTTCATGCTAAATCTAACGTGAAAATTCAGTGCCAGTTGCCTCTACATTTGTGATAAGAACATAGTGGGTTTTTTTTAACTTCAGATATTAATAGGATGACTTTTTGTAACACATGATGTTTTATGTTGATTAGACAGGCTGAAATTTTCCTACCTCATATAATCATCTCTGACTGTACAGGAATCCTCAAGTCTTCTGAGTCTAAACATTTCTGTAAACCACAATGGAAAAACAGCTTTGAAGTATTCCCAGTAGCAATCTTGGAATTTCTTCAAGTATATTGAGATTTTGTTAGAAATTGAATTGCCAGTGTAATCCATCCTCCTTGTGAGAAAAGATTCAGATAAAGAGCTGGAGCCTAGCAGCATTAGGTATTGGAACATCCCTTTAAATCAATAAGCTACAAATCTGGCAGCGCATTCATGCAATGCCCAGTGCTACACTAAAGTGGCTTTAATGCTGAAACAGCATTACTAATGGCACATCCCCAGCACGGATAAACAGTGGAGTGATGCAGTAACCCACATTATATGAGGCCTTATCTAGTTAAGTCTCACAAAAACATTTATATTGTGCTGGCATAGGTAAGAAAGCAAAGTTCTTTCTTTTTTCTTTTCAGATGACTTTCCAAACATAGTTATAGAAGGCATTCTACATGGAATATTTTATCCTCATTTACTGCCCAGGTAGAAGTAATGTGTGGCTAGAAGAAGCTGAAGCAAGTCTCCGAGTCATGTGTAATGGAATTAACAGGAATAAGTATCTGAGACGTGAATATTATGCTCAGAAGGGAAAGGCACAACCTCAGGTTAGGTTCAAGCATTCTATCTTTTTAAATAAAATCAGTGTCACTACAATTGCTGCTTTAAAAAAGATATGGAAGCAACAGTATTGAAATTATTTATACCTTCATATGTTGACATGCTCTAACTATTTAACACTAAAACCTGAAAGTCTTACACTGAATTACACTAACCTTTGAAAAGAACTGTAAGCTTTACTAATTATTACTGTAATTTCTATCCTAAATTACACTAAGCATTTTTACAACAGGATTTTTCCCAGCATATTACCCATTGCTGCCACTGGATAGATTAAAAGTGCTGGCACTTAAGAGACTGTGTGAGAAATTGCACCAAAAAAAAAAAAAAATAGAGACAGAAAGCAACTTTCAAAATTTAGTTAATTTCTCTTACTTTGAATCTGCTTCTTAGCATCAGGTTGGAAAAGAGCCAGTGCAGCTGTATGGAGTTCCTATTGGAAAACATTGCTTCCATGTTTTGGAATACATAGCTCGCTCTCAGGAAATTTTGTAGATTTCAGCTGAAATGACTTTATGTACCAGGGGATTTTCGATGGCATTTACGCATCTCCATTCAGTTATGACATCTAATCTGTGTGTGTTTACTCTTCACATCAACTTGCAGACTGTAATCCATATCTTAACATTTTGTAAGTCACAGAGCACACAGCTCTGTGGTAAGCTAAAGCAAGAATATGATTAAGTAGTAAATTAATAAAACTAAAAATTATAGATGTATAATTATATATATATATATTTGTTCAGATTTTACTGGAAATTTGTATGTGTGCTACTTGACTTTACAAAATAAAGTACTAGATGAATGTACTGCTTCGGTGTGTTTTCTTTGCATTTCTACTCAGACATTTCTATTCAGAGACTTGTGTCTCAGAGATGGTCTCACAGATACCTCCACATGAAGCACAAGAAAATGCCTGGTTGTCTGCTCATTTAAGACTCTCAGCAGCATGCTATGTGAGCATGATAGGCTCATAAAAGTGCATGGTTTGGGGGAAAAAAAAGTCATCATAATTTCAGAGCCAGTAAGTCACTGGGCTCAGAAAAAGGAAGCGTTGCAGAAAAGCCAGCTGGCAAAGCTAGGCAGGTACAGCAGTCTGGTCCTGGCAGCACATGCGTTTTGAAACTGGCTGGAGTGATGAAAACGTGGGCCTGTGACCGCAGCACTTGCTCAGTCAGCAGAACCCTCTACATTGTCTGCAGATCAGCCGCCAGAAAAGCTTTTAGCTACCTGCAAAAATTGAGCTATTTTAGGGAGTCTGAGGCTCTCTCTCTCTTACTGCCCAACACTGCTTCCCAGAGAATTTTACTTGAAGTCCTAGAAATAAAAATTAACAGTGGTTAAGATGGGAAGCCTGATTGCGTAGTACTAGGCACATTCAAAGACCCTCCTCTAGCTTTGTTTAAAGAGGACAGTAATCCTTTCTCATGTCTCTAAAAAAAAAGTGTCAGTATTTACCCTCAAGAGAGGCCCCAGGGCTGCAAATCGTGAATCAGCAGAAGCACCCCCTTGAACTGCAAGTGACCTGTCACAAGGAGCAGAGGTAAATCCCTGCCCACAGTGTTTTCCTGTTCCCTTACAACAGGGCTGCGGGTAAGTACCTGCAAGCTCTGTGCTGTCCCAGTTCACACTCTCCCCTGCACCACAATCTGGATACCTCACCTGGGCATCAGAACACCCTTCAGGAAACCCATCACCACAAAGGTTAAGTGGTTGTCCTGGGTTCAGCAGTAGCAGTCATGTTTCTCCTTCGTGGTAGCTGGTGCAGTGCTGTGTTTTGACTTCCAGCCTGGGAACAGTGCTGGTGATACCGATGTTTTTGGTTGTTGCTAAGTGATGTTTACCCTGACCAAGGACTTTGTGAGGCTCATGCTCTGCCAGGGAGGAGGGGAAGCTGTGAGGAAGCAGAGACGGGGCGCCTGACCCAGGCTAGCCAAAGAGGTATTCCATACCACAGCACATCATACCCAGGGTGGGGGGGTAACGTGAAGTTACCCGGAAGGACGGGCTTCCAGGTGGGACTCATTTCTTGGCCGGTGGTATCGTATTCTCTTCCCTTGTTATTTTCCCTTATCATTGTTGTCGTCGGTGGTAGCGGTGGTGATTTGTGTTGTACATTGGTTGCTGGACTGTTCTTGTCTCAACCCGTGGGAGTTGCACTCTCTCGATCCTCCTCCTCGTTCCTCCGGGAGCGGAGAAGGGGAGAGCCCTGGGTTGGGGCGGGGGGGGGGCTCGATTGTTGTCAGCCCGGCACCACTCACTGGGAGTGAGTGAACAAGTTGCCTGACTGGGTTTAAACCACGACAGTTGTGTACTGTAAACTGTGCAGGTGGGTGCATCTTTCTTCAGATCCTGGCATCAGTTCTTGTATCCTGAGTTTTGAAACACTGGAAACTCAAGAAAAAAAATCCACATCTCTCTCATTAAAGAACCTAACAAACTCAGGTGTCTCCAAGTGTTACCTTATGCTGACCTTGTTTCAAAGCTACCAGTTAAGCTGTCAACTTGAGTTATTCAGAAGCATTACAAAAACAGTGAACCTGAAGTTGCATCTCTGACCTAGAGCAAAACTGCAAAGAAGAAGCATTTATCATAACTAACTTTAGCTAGGAGTTACAAAATTCACTGTGCTGTAAAGCAAGGACTCTTCTGTTTTAATCAGTTTTTAACTGATTATCATAGAATCATAGAACAATTAGGGTTGGAAAGGACCTTAAGATCATCTAGTTCCAACCTCCCTGCCATGGGCAGGGACACCTTACGCTAAATCACCCAAGGCCTCGTCCAACCTGGTCTTGAACACTGCCAGGGATGGAGCATTCACAACCTCCTTCGGCAACCTATTCCAGTGCCTCACCACCCTAACAGGTAGGCAGAGCTGCTCTTTCTTGATTACAGGATTGCACATGAATACTGTTGCTTTTTAGAAAGACAGCAGGGATTTTGACATACTAGAGAAATTCACTGTCCCTGCTTTAATCTTACTACCTCATTTCCTGAGAAGCAGCACCTCCTGCACACTTTGCAGAATCAAATAAGGTGATAAAAGAGGCCAGAGGCACAGATGGAAAGGGTATAGAAAAAGCTCTTCATTAAGTGTTTATTTGAAATCAAAGTTTATTTATTCAAACAACATTTTTTTTTCAATTTTAAAAATGCTGAAAGTGTTACAGAAAATAATATATTCAGTTGAAAAGGTGGAAATCCTGCAAAAATCTCCAAAAATGACAAATTGACCTTGAAAAAATAAAAATACATCTAAAATTTTTCATTAAAGACTTTTTCTGCAATTTAGTGAGATATGTCACGACCTTCAAGGAGTGACAGCTCCATAAAATTGTTACAGAAATGCTCGTATTTTTTATGTATCTGGCAAATAATAAGTACTATCTAAATACAGCCTGATGTATTTTGAGGAGAAAACTCAATAGTTGAGATCAGCAAGCCTTAAAAAGAAAGTGGCAAATTTTACTTTCCATTCTGACTGTTGGTCTCACCAGTCACCTACTTCAACTACAAATGGCTCTTTTACAGCTATTTTGCCACTGTTCACAATCACACAGTCTTGAAGGGGCCGGTCGTGTTCATCTGTCTGCTGGAGTTCTATCGAGTGTACCACAGACTGTTAACAAAAAGAGGAGACAGTTCAGTTTATTCAAGGAAACTGCAATGGCTCAAGACTGGGACCACCACATGAACAACTAAGTGCTCCAAGCATTACTACATACTAAGCAACTTTAAAGACCTTTACCCTGCTGAGTTCTCACATGCCTTTTTTTTCCCCCACATGAACAGTCATGCCACTATACAACCCAAACACAGCTTACAGAAGGAAGGTTGTTTGCCCTTCCATAAAAACCTTAACCCAACAAAAATATTATGAAGGGGCAACTCGAAATATCCTTTCAGCTGGCTGACCCTAGCACATTCAGGGTCTGCCTGTAGCCTATGATCAAAAAGGGTAATCCAGAGATCGTAAAGGATGAGAAGTACTTGTTTTTCTAATTGTAACAGCACAACTGGGCTTCAAGAAATCTGATGCATTAATCTAAACTAAAAATTAGTCTGAGTTGTTCCTCAAAAATTTTCAGCTACTACTGTAGCTCATGAGAATCAAATTCAATATGAATGTGGAAGCGGGGGCAAGTGTTCTGATGAAGTTTTCAAACCCCTCAAAGAACTGGTCAGTGCAGCACTTCAGGTTTCCCCCATTCATTCAAAAACACAGATGAAACAGAATGACTTAAAAGGAAAACCAGGCTACTATGAGTACAATCAGCTGGAAGTACATTTTTCAATTTAAATTCTATTTGGCGTTTGATCAGTTTTGCAGCTGTGCAGAGCTGGAGGGAATGGGCTAGATTTTTTTTCTTTTTTAAACAGACCTGAATATATCTGTTTGTATACTTTACATTCACATGATTCTAAAAAGCCTAACAGTGAAAGTGTCATCCTTAACTAATACATGCTACAGAAGCAGACTTTAGCTTGTAGAAAAATACAATTATTTCATGGCTAACAGCATTAGCGACAGGGGAACCTGAACCTTCTGCATTTGTAATCTGCAAAGATGTCAGTGTTGATTTCGGTGGTTAGTGGCCTAAACAAAAGCTGTGAAAGCCAGAGGCATAATTTAAGTTTCCATTTCTGCAGTCACCATTTGTACTTCCAAATCATCCAGCTTCAGGCTCTTCACAATAGTTTTCTATTACATACATACTAGATAACATTCAACTGTTTTGAACTACAGTGGTGTAAATTACACTAACGCAAATAAAACATGGCAGAACTTGCCCAGATTTTCTTGGATAAATCTTGCCACTACTTTTAGCTTACCATTCCATCAAGGACTTTGCCAAACACTACATGTTTTCCATTTAACCAGGAAGGCTTTGTCACACTGATGAAGAACTGGGATCCATTGGTGTCTGGACCAGAATTAGCCATGCTAACCCATCCTATTCCATAGTGTTTAAGTTTGAAGTTCTCATCTGGAAATTTTTCCCCATAGATGCTTCTTCCTGTGACAAAAAAATCAGAAACAAACTTTAAAAAAAAAAAATCTGAACCAAACCAAACCCTTTTAGTTCAAAAATGGGAAAAACAAAGTATATATTCAGGACTTGAAGATTCATTGTTTGATTAAACATAGCAACATCATAGTTCCATTGTCAGTGATTCCACAACTAAAAGCATTTTGGTGTAAAGAAAAAGATAATATAAAACATCGCATGTAAGGAGAGAGTATTTAAAGCTGATGATGCGTTATCCTTTGAATTTAACAAGGAAGCTGTGTACCTTCAAAGGTCCTTCTTACATATACCACTGAACAACTGTACTTCA